CGATGTTTTAAAAGGTGAATTTTTCAATGGGTTGCTTTATTCCTGTTGGTAAATTCTATGCTATTTGTTTATTTTCTGTGTTGCTACGAGCATCGTACGACTGGATTGAAAGAGATGAATGCACTTCGTCGTACTTAGATAGTATGAATCCTACGTGTAAATTGTGCGTATATACATACACACGTTTGTTATATGGTTCGTATATATATGTATATAGAATGTATCGAACGGTTAGGAACAAAAATATTTAACAAATAAATGATAAAAGAATCTTATGCAAAAGGGGGACAACATTTGTACAATTTTTAATTTATTAAACGTGTATACTAATTTTTGATCTAGGTTGGAGAGAGAGAGAGAGAGAGAGAGAGAGAGAGAGAGAAAGAGTGTTTGGGGGTTAAAACTAAATTAAAGATAATATCATTTTCTTTATTAGGACACCATGTTCATTTTATAATACAGAAAAAGAACACTGATATGGGATCGTTCATTTTTTTTTCTTCTTCTATTTAATCCGTTAATATTTTATAACAAAATTATCTTTTATTTTCGTTGAATAAACAAAAATACACCCGTTATAACACCGAACAAAAACAACCACCCACCCCATCCCATCACCCGTCGCAATCACAAAACCATCGGTTATAAATAAATTTAACTCATCGTTTTTCCTCACCTTTCTTCGAATCGTGTGATTAGAATTCTAACGTTTCTAGAACATTTACCGTACAAATATTTGTACGATAAGGCTTATAGTATTGTCAATGTGAGATTCGCTAAAGCCAATAAACTTGTAAAAGTAACAAGTAAAAAAAGCAAACTAGCGGCATTATGCATTTCGTTTCCGTTTAAAATTACGCCATCTTGAGATTAAGATGAAAAGAGAAAGAGAAAGATAGAAAGATAGAAAGAGAGGGGGGGGGGGTAAAGGGGGAGTGGAAGAGGAAAGAGAAGACGGGCTAAATGCCAATTGGTTGAGACTCTGACAGAAATTTCGATGACAGAGATCACACTCGATCAAAAATAGCGACTTCTTTTTATTACTCTCGAGTACAAAAAACAATTTATTATATATTTTATTATATATATTTATATTTCTCGTGTATAATGGTTTTTTTTTTGTTTTTTGTTTTTTTTTTTTTTGTTTAAATTCAAACGAACATTATA